GAGTCATTATTCTCCTCCTCTTTAAATAAGAGAAGATAAGTCTTTTTTTATAATTTCTCTCTCATTCACCTTATCATTTACTCCCTCCGGTCCTTTTTAGTTCGCATATAAGATTTGACTGAAGTCAATTCTCGTAAAGTTTGACCAACTTTGTAGAAAAATGTGCCAACATTCACAATCTGAAATCAATATCACTAGATGTGTCATGACTTAAATTTCATATTTTATAACTTTAGCATGGCAGATGTTGATATTTTTTTATATAAATACGGTCAAATTTTATAAAGTTTGACTTCAAAGAATTCTAATATGCAGAGTAAAAAGGACCGAAAAAGTATCATATATGCCAATTGTAAGACAGAACCATTGTACATGTCGTAACGGGTAGCAATTTCAACACATCAATCTGACCCTACCCACTAACCAGGCACGCACCAGCTGATTCTCACGCAGCCTCGGCCGCCACGCGCTCCCGTCCCGTTGGCCGCCCGCCTCAACGTTCGTGACGCGCGACCGATTCCGGTCCACCACCACCATCCAGATCCATGGACCTCACACGCCAGCATCACCAACAACGCTGGTCCAACGTCTCCTCCCGTGGCCGCGCACGAGCCCGACGCCGACCGAGCCGGTTCCCCATCCCCGAACTTCTAGGCTATAAAGCCGTGCGTGTAGCCCACGCCTCCGTCCCGTTTCTTCTCATCCGCAGCCATCCATCCACAGCCAAAAGAAAAGAAAAAAGAAATCCTTTAAAAAAAATCCGATTCGGTCCTCCTCTCGCGAATCAACTGCTCTGCCGGCGCCAGCCACCCATGTCGTCGCTCGCCGCCGGCTACGGGCTGGACTTGGACCTGGAGTTGGGGATCTCGTTCGCGGGCCTCTTCTCGGCGCCGGAGCTAGCGGCGGCGGACCTGCTGCTGCAGCTCAGCGTACTCGGAGAGGCGGAGGCCACGAAGCCCTCGCGGTCTTCGGCGAGTTCGTGCTGCGAGGGCCTCTCCGTCGAGGTGGAGGAGCGGGTCTTCGAGGAGACCCCGTCGTCGGCGTCTACAGAGCTGCTGGACACGAGGGCGAGGAAGAGGTACCGCCCGCTGTCAGAGCTCTACTCCGACACGATCCCGCTCACCGCCGCCGCCGCCTCCGTGAATAAGAATAGGAGGAAGACGCACCACGACCACGGCGGGGCGTCATCGTCATGGGAGTCGGAGGCGACGAGGTACGGCGGAGACTACTAGAGAGTAGAGGTACACAGGTAGAGGACTGCTCTTGTGTAATTACCGCGTTGTTTCCCCCTATCTCCGCCTCTCTTCAGAGAAGAAACGGGAAAAGACAAAATTGTGTTGAGAAAGACGAAGCAGATGGTTAGCGCCTCCACCTTTTGAATTTGAAATTTGAATCTGGCCTTCCGAGATCTGCAAACATCAGAGCTCATCATTACCTACCAACTGCATGTAGCGTTACCTCCTCCACGATTCGAATTTGAATCTTCTCTCTCCATATAACTAGACAAGATCGAAGAATTGATCCATCCTGACGTACGCCGGATTCGGCAGCCCAAAAGGCTAGGAGATTAGGAGTACGTTGTCGTATAGTTTGCTTGCAAGCACACGCCAAGGTTCTTGGCATGCTCTGAATTTTCTTACAAAGTCGTTTTATCTTTTATGTTCTAAAACTAGCCTTTTAATCCAGCTATGTACACTAGCAGTGCTCTTTCACGGGATCTTATCTTGGCAAATTGAAGCCAGTATATATACATGAGACTAGAGCTGTTGTTGATTTCAGTATGAACACGTGTAAGTTTTATGTTACTCGCACTTTTTTCAGGTCCGCCTAGATGTCTGAGGATTTAGTCTTGATCATCATATTCAGTTAGCCGACACACCATGATCACTAGCAATTAAGGCCACCGTTGTAAGGATCAACACTCAATATTGAAAATGGACATTGATAGTTCATAGAGAGAATGGTTAACGCGGAGATGACAACCTGATATGGGTGGGACTAAGCCGGCCGGCAGCTAGGCTTTTTTTCTTTGCTGATTCTGTCTAAGTGGAAAGGTTTTCTTCCGTTGATCATAAGGGGAACCTTGCTTGGTGGAAACCAAGGGAGGTTGAGCTCAACAAGCAATGACATTCTTGGCAACAGGTACATGCAGGAACTCCACCCGACCATGATAAGTTCCACCCAAAGCGTCCACTATGCACGTACATATGTGGATGCATAGTTTGTAGAGGCGTCTGATGTGAAGGGAATATTAACTGCAGTTGGCTCAGGCCATATGTCAGATACATTCAAAATTCAACGGAAGCAAGCAACATACTTCGCTCTCTATATTTAGAATTAAGTAAATCCGAAAATGGAAGCAATCTAACTGTGTGCGCACACATATGGATGTAAAACTCATGACATAGGGCTTCTTCGTGGAAACAGGGCAAACTTGTATGTTTTTTACACAAGGGGCCGTTTGTATGTTCCTACCTATATGTTTTTGGGCACAGAACACGAAAGACTAAATTGAGGAAGCTAGATGCAGTACCCCGTTTATTGTCAGAAATTGCACCAACAATACGTTTGGGTCGAAGAACAATCAGAGGTCATATCTCTACACTGGTCATGTGCACATACTATTCAGTCTTGGTGGTTTAAGATTATGGTTGATGATTTGATGTGTAAGCTAATGCGAGTACTTCAACTTGATAATTTTGCACAACTGCAAGGCAATAAGAACTTATCTCAGTAATACCCTCATAGAAGTGTGATAACCGACTAATGTCAAGTCAGTTCATTACTGAGATGATCAATAAATCTTATATATCGTACTTCCTCCATATCACAAATTCAAGTCGTTTTGGACTTATCTTAAGTCCAACTTTTAGAACATTGACTATAGATATTACTTCAAATAGTTGGACTGTGAATTCGTAAATCATATGTTTAGATCATGGGAGGTGGTGGTGGGAGGAGATTCCGGAGAAATCTATGGCTGACAACGCCAATAAAGGCGGCGCACAAGGGCGTTGTTACCTACCTGTAGGCATTGTCTTGGTAACCGCTCCCACCCCACTTGCTTCTCCCCTTCTCTTCCACAGGGTGAAAACCCAAAACCCCACTGGGTTGGGCGGTACCGGAGCTACAGGCCCCATCACCTCCTTGGGGATGCTGCCTTCGATGGGTCTGGGGTGGTGGTGTGTCTGGTTCTGTTGATTGGTGCAGGGCAAAGACGTCGGTGGTCGGCGTGGTTGACTTTGTGTTCCTCTTTGTGTTAGCATGCACGACGACCAGTGGGTGTTTTCGTGGCCATGCTGGGCGGGGATTATGTTCCTCCCCCGCGTTGTAGCGTTCCATCAGGATTGGCGTAAGACCAGTGCTTTATCTTACGGTCTTGGCCTCCTCCTTTGACCCTTCATCATCCATAGCCCATCCTTGCAGTTGCTTCTCCTTCATCATTTTCAGGGCCAGGAACATAGCCTATCATTTGGTGTGCTCGATGTTACTATTGGCAGTGCTAAGGTCTTCCGGTTTGCTTTGGCGTCGGTTTTCACCTTGCTCTCGGGGGAGCATCTTCTTCTCTCGATGGATTGGTGCACTCCATGGTAGGGAAAGGGGTTTGGAGTCCCCTTCAGAGTTAAAATGGGTTGTTACCGAGGTATCACGAGCTCATGCAGTCGACATGGGTGTTCTTCATAAAATTATACGCCTCAAGATTGGGGCATTTTCCTCTGCACGGAGCATTGGAGTAAGGTTTCTTCGGCATCAAGCTAGTCTTGAGTCTTCGCTTTTTCTTATCCTTGCTTGTTTTCTAGATATTGTATGTTAGCTCTTTGCACATCACATTGTATCTTCTAGCAATTTTCATTTTCATTTTCTTTTCTATTTGGTTTGTATTGGTGAGTGATGTAATCATGGCTGGTTAGTGGCTGTGTTAATTCAAAGTCATGCTCGACTTGAGCCTTTTGTCTAAAAAAACATATGACTGGTAGAGTTTCTCTGGTTATTATTGTTAGCATACAACTACATACCATGACATATGTGTAGCGATAATTGTCGATAGAGGGAGAAGTTGGATAATACATCTAATGTACTGCATCAAGCTATCTGCATGAACTTATAGTGGTAACTATGGGCATGAAAACTTGCTCAGGCCAGGTGTCCGGTGTTTCCTCCTCCCCATGGAAAGTTCCCTAAATGATTAGGTTTTCTCCTCCTCCCATCGGCGTCGCCGCCGGTCCGTCCCGCCTTCGATGACCTTTGGGTTGTGGAGGTGTGGAGGACCTCGGCCCCTCGTTGGCTAGAGGGACCACGCTCTCATTCTTATTAGGTTTAGCCTCTTTGTTGGGGTTGCATGGCGGCGGCGATGTCTCTTTGTAGGAATAATGTCTCCCACACTCAGTCCCTTCACTGATGGTGTTGGCGTCGTCAGAGGGCATGTGGAAGTGCTTCTCCATCGGATCATCCGGGATTTGGTCGGTGCTGGTCTTTGATGGACCTAGTTTGGATTCACTTCTCCCTTCATCGGTGATGGTTGTTCTTCTGATGCGCTTGTCCTGTAGGGTCTTATCATGACAACTTTTGACTATGTGCCACAACAACTTTTGCCCAGCTCTGATAAGGGAGGGGCAATAATGGTAGTGCGCCTTTGGCACACTCTAGTGCTTGCAGTCGTCAAACCTGTATAATTGTTATTAACTCCTATGGTCTTTGTACTACCATGATTGATTATAAATAGATCGAATGTATCTCCCGAAAAAACTAACGCCTATTTGATTTGGAGCCCGGTTTGATAATTACTCAAGGTACTTCTAAGAGTATTTTTCGCAAAAAAAAAGTCAAGGAGGCAAAAGTTTGCCCGTATTTTTTTGAAAGCCCATCCTAAATAGAAAATGACGAAAATTAATAAAGCCAACCTTCTCGTTTGCGAAGAATAAAAACGTAGCCTTCTCAAAAGCAAAAGAAATTAGCCGACGAGCGTCCACGGCAACCAACCCACCCTGGCCAAATCTACCATGAAAAGACTACAGCGCGAGATGCAGCCGGCGAAGGTGAAGCCGGCGCCGGAGCCCAGGACCAAGGGCGCCGCGGCGCCTGCGCGGGCGCTGGCGGCGGAGGCCTTCACGGCGCGCGAGCTCGACGCGGCGGAGCAGCTCATCCATCTCAGCGAGAGCAGCGCGTCCTCGGGCACCACGCGCGCCCACCCCGTCGCCTACGCCGCGGCCTCGGGCGGCTCCTCCCGGCGCTCCGTCAACGGCCTGCAGGCGCCGGCGTCGGGCGCGGTTTTCCTTGGCGGTTGCGCGAACCGGGAGGAAGATGAGGAGCAGGAGGTCGCCGGGAGCCAGCGGAGGGGGAAGCGGTACCGCCTGATCGCCGAGATCTACGCCGCGACGGAGGAAATCGGAGGCCGCAGCGGCCGGAAGAACAGAAAGGATTAGGCGACGAGGTGGAGGGAGGAGAGGAGAGACGAGAGGGATCTTCTTGTAATTAGCGTAATTGCTGGGGGGTAGCTGGTAGTTCGTGCTCGCAGTCCTCCCCTTCCTCGCCGGAGAGGAATCGCCATCGATATACTGTAAATTAAAGCTTCATCTTTGCAATAAGACGTACTAATTGGTTGGAGTTCCATCCCTTGTTTGTGTCGAACTGTTGATCATGACGGCTTCTGATTTCAGAACTGATTTGTCGTCTCCTACCGTGTTTTCCTACCTCCTACTGCTTATCGATGATCTCCGTGCGCAGCGACGAGGATCAGATCAGGTCCGGCCTTGGCTTCGGTTAGGTAGCTCTGTGCAGCGCGGCGAGGCGAGGCCGATCGATTTCGATTGCGCCCGCGCGTGCATGCAATTTTCGCAATTAACTATTCAGAGGCTGATGCGAGTGCGATTCGATCCACGATCTGAGAAATTCGTAGTAAGAGCACTGGTCTGGACTTCAATTCCCGGCGCGTATGTGGTCAGGGATGCTTGCGGTGTACTTGATCAAAAGAATTTGTGGAGGACCTAGCACGAGCTGCCGGCTGGTGCCTGGTGGCGCCCAGGCGGAATGGCGGTACAGGCTTCTTACTACGGCGAGGCAGCGAGGTTCCGATCTAATTAAGCGCTGCCTCGCCATACTGGTTTGGTCGATTTAGGCGAGTCCAGTTTCTTTCATGCAACATGAAGGAGTGACTGACGGTAGCTGCTGAAGCAGAGACAATGGTGGGGATAAATGGAATGTTCTAGAAGCTTCCAAGCGAGTCCTGGAGGTAGGCAGGCAAAGCCGTTCATGCGAGAGTTTCATTAGATCTTGCACATGTACGTGATGTCCTATTAAATCCAACGAGCTTATCTTTGACCGCTAAGGTGTGACTGTTACCGATCATGACTGATGACTACATATAAATTTGTTTAATTCTTCAGGTTGAAATGATCTGAACGATGGATCATTCTCAGTTACGTACCTTGTAGTTCGATCGATTTCAGCGTCTGTTATTGCCAGAGAAGATCATACGATGGCAATCCAACAATTTGGTGTTGTAATTCTGCCACTCTTGGTCAATTTTCCTTCCATTATGCTGCCGGACATGCATCTCCAAGATGGCAATCTAATTTTCAGTGCCCCAGGACAGTGCCATATAGGAAGATACAAGTTGTCAAGGAGACCAGAAAACCAGGGTGGACGTTTTTTTGAAACTTCATATCTTTGTTCATACAGTCGACATCTACTAGCTAGTTTCTACATCCATGAAGGAACCTCATCGATCAACGCACCATGCTCCTCACCCCCTTACCAAACAGAGCAACTTGATGCGCTACTATATTGACACCTTGACTAATCCTCCTTAAATTGAAATCTTGGAGGCATTGCATCAAACCCAAGGCTTCTTTCTCTGGATCAACATAAGCAGACTTATCAAACAAGGGAGAAGATCCAACACCAGCTAAAGACCTCGCAAGCACTCTTGAAGCTCGACTTCAAACAACAACATATCCCAAGTTGAAATAACAGTGTTGCTCTTAGCATCACACGACAGCAAGCTGATACAGCAAAGGAGGTACCATGCACCACGCCAGCATTAGATTTTGCCAGACCAAATGGAGGCGGAGCCCAAACCTCTCTATCAAACACACCACTCTTCCCAAGAGAAGAAGGGACATGACCATGCATGACTACAGTGTTCTATCTTTCGATGCAGCTAGCAGAGATAACCAGGCCAAGGTAGTTCAAATTAGGCAAAAAATAATCAACCCTTGACCGCAGCCTTTCATTCACCAGAGATCACATTATTTCTGAGATGCACATGCCCTTAACGAGAAAGGACAACATATAACGCAAAATCGAGGTAAACCTAGGCACAGTAAGTGGGCTTATGTGATGTTAATAGCGTAGATATTAGCTAAATCTAATAGTTTGAGCATTAGAAACACAAATTCAAGACAGCAAGAGGATAAAGAATAGTGGGCAGTACTAGAAAATTGTACTCCCTCCGAACCATATTAATTGACCCTGGTTTAGTATAAAGTTATACTAACTTTATGCTAAACCAACGTCAATTAATATGGATTGGAGGGTGTATTTGGAATGTACTACGAGGTTCACATAAGTGTCACCTAGCAAATCACGCGGCCAAGGGGGCAGAATTAAATATATATGGGTTTAATGTATTACAAGATTGTCACTTTATTACAAACAAACATGAGACTCAGGACCCCAAATGTTTTTTTTCTGTAACAATCGGTTGGTCGTAAACAAAAGGGTACATGTGGAATGGTAGATGGAAACCAGAAGAATGACCCAAATTGATACGGCTCCTAAGTGGTCTTTTCTCCTCCGCGGAATCATAAGAGACAAAGTGAAATGTTTTGGTTTGCATGGATCATGTACTAATGGAAAGAAATGGAAACACAAACTTTTTGATGAAATGTCTGGACATGGATGGCGCTTCATGGTCTATATAACAGATTGTACGGTTCGGGGGG